ACTTGAGTGTTGAAATGAGTCCTGAGTTTTCATTATATCATACAATTTATATCATAAGGAAGTCATACCATAAGCGCCGCACGAATTGCATGTTTGAGTCAATGAATGAGTTATGAGACGCTTCTCTCTACTAATGAAAAGATTGCTTCCAATTCTTCATAACCAGAAAGAAGTGCTTTTGTATGAAGTGTTAGAACTATGAATGCGTGGGTGTGGGAGGGATGGCAGGGATGGGAGGGGTGGCAGACCTGATCAGGAATAGAGCTTAACATGTGATCGTAGGGATTGTGAGGCTGGCAGGGATGGCAGGGCTGCCAGTGATCGCAGGCACAGGACAGTCAAAACACTTTAATCAAACACAAGGCGTTGAACTTTTGCACATTTTTCTCATATATTGCTCAAAACAATTTTATCTGTAAATGTCTTAATGTTTAATTGAATACAACATTCATTTCAGATGTCGTCCCGATATAGCAAAGGAAACAGTGGCACAACTTCTAGTGTTGGGTTCGGAAGAAAGTGTTTATTTATAGCATCAAACTCTTAATTCTTCTTATCTGTAGTCAATGTACAGTATTTGCAGTTTTGAGACATTATTTTTTATGGAGCAAAAGACTCATACAATGCATACTTTGTTTGTTAAGCCAATTCTGTATGAGATGTGAACTCATTGTTTCTATCATAACAGGAAATCTAAACCTTTTAAAGTCTGGTAATATGTTTTCAAAGCTCTTCTCTTATTTATTTCTTAAATATATTTCAAATATTCTAATCATTAAATTTGTTATTAATTTGACTAATTTTCGAGCATTTCTCAAATTTTATATTCATTAATATAGCGTTTAATCCCATTATTTGAGACCATTTTATTTTTTAACTTAATAAAAGGCTAACTCAGAGAGATTTGTTACAATTTGTATAACCAATGAATAAAATGGTAATAATAAACATAAAGAGAAATGTCATAATTATTTCTTTTATTGTAATTAATTAGTTATTAAAACAAGACCTAAATCAGAAGCTTTACTATTGGCCGTTAATTTGTAATCATTTTTGCATTAAATTTATGAAAATGGTTTTCTATCTAATAATTAAATAACAAATTGTGAGACAAATGACTTAATTTATATATAAATAACTTACTTATTATTGCTGGTAATCTTTAAACTCCACTTCAATTGAATGCTTCATTAATACAAGAAAAAAGTTTAATTTGGGTTTTGAATGGAAAATATTTAGAATAGTGTTTGCATTACAATAAAACAAACAATAGTTAAACACATTATAACAGGTATTACCTCAAGAATACAGTATATAAAGGGAATACAAATATAAATTCAAGATCAGTGGAAAGGTATCCCATATTAATAATACGGCCCTAAAGTCAGTTAAATTTATCAATTAAATGACTTTCAAACATAAATAAAATTCGTTTATTTTTAGTGTTCATTAAGATTTGGAATTTAGATAATATATATGTATTTAAGACTTAATGCTCACAAAATTGCTTAAAAAATGATTAAAAAACAAATAAAGTATTCTGTGTCCCAATTCCTAGTCTTGTAATAATAAAAAGATTGTTACGAGAAAAACAATATTCAGTGTTGAATATGTGCTCATTTTGTGCTCAACGACTTGAGTGTTGAAATGAGTCCTGAGTTTTCATTATATCATACAATTTATATCATAAGGAAGTCATACCATAAGCGCCGCACGAATTGCATGTTTGAGTCAATGAATGAGTTATGAGACGCTTCTCTACTAATGAAAAGATTGCTTCCAATTCTTCATAACCAGAAAGAAGTGCTTTTGTATGAAGTGTTAGAGCTATGAATGCGTGGGTGTGGGAGGGATGGCAGGGATGGCAGGGGTGGGAGGGGTGGCAGACCTGATCAGGAATAGGGCATCACATGTGATCGTAGGGATTGTGAGGCTGGCAGGGATGGCAGGGATGGCAGGGCTGCCAGTGATCGCAGGCACAGGACAGTCAAAACACTTTAATCAAACACAAGGCGTTGAACTTTTGCACATTTTTCTCATATATTGCTCAAAACAATTTTATCTGTAAATGTCTTAATGTTTAATTGAATACAACATTCATTTCAGATGTCGTCCCGATATAGCAAAGGAAACAGTGGCACAACTTCTAGTGTTGGGTTCGGTGCCGGTGGCGGCCCTTCAGCTCTCAATCTCTATACAAACAAATCGGCTAATAATAAAAGTGCTTCTTCTGGCTATACATCTGATCACTATTCCAGTCCATCAGCTCTTCATTCATTGCCGGGTTATGTAAGCGATGTCGGGGGCAGTAGTAGTCATGTCTCCTCCAAAGCCAGTTATCTCCAAACCAATGCATACGGAAGCAGTCCAGGGGTTAAAACCTACTCATCCTATAGTAATTCATACTTATCTAATACAATGTTTCGTAATCTATCAACAAATACATCAAGAATGCCATCTATTAACTACTCGTATAGCAGTGGTAGCAGTGGTTACGCCCGAAATGCGAGTCCCAGATATGTCTCGCATACCAGACCTGAGAGAACCACTCAAACAAACCATACAAACCATGAGCTCAATAACAATAACAACTCTATAACCTCTATAACCAACACAACTAACAAAAGTAAAACTCCGGCAGAATTCTCATCGGATTCTGAGGGCGAGGAAAACCATTCAGACATTATATGCCACACAAATATCATCGTCACCTCCAGAGCCACTTCACCCAATAGGGAGAGGGATGTCACTAATGCCAGACTAGACTCCATTTCGGCCACTCAGCAGATCATTAGACCCAAGAAAGTGGTGTTTGGCGTTGTGTTGGCCAACAAGTGCTCACAACAAACCCAATGCACTCATTCAGACTTTCATACCGATAACCGGCTCAGTATATCACCCGCACTCACCCCAAACCGATCCCTAACACCCACTCCAGCACTTAGTAGTCCGACACTGAGTCCAGCCCTGAGTCCGAGTGTCACTCCATGTCATTCGCCATCACCGGTGAGAATGCGTTACGGATGTACTCCTAATAGAAGACCTGCCAATACCTCTAACAATAGCAATAGATATTCAATGCCAGTCATGACAATCACCACTACCTCTGCCACTGATTTCTCAAATTACAGCTCAGTTTGCAATTCAAATGATAGCCAAACAGAGAACACAATGTCTGCCAAACCTTTCAATTCATCCAATAATTCAATTCAAAACTCATTTGAAATGCCCGTCAGTTCTGATCAAAACAATACACAACTTATTAATGGCTGTAATTGTGAACAAAATCAAAACCAAACCTTAATTAATGATAAAAATAATAACTTATTAGTCGGCGACCAAACGTCTCAAAGCAGATCCAGAGGCAGAATCTCGCCCTCAATCTTAAGACGGAGACGAAGCAAATCCAGAGGCAGACTGTCTGGTCGTTCCAGAAGTAGATCCAAAGAAAAGCTATTGGATAGAGAAGAGTCTTCGACAACAACTTCCAGTAGTAGTGATGACGAAGAGCTCCAAAAGAATAAGACAGCGGATCGACACTCGAGACTCAGAAAGAAAAAAAGTGGCGAAAAAAGCGGTGAAACAAATCATTTACAGACATGTAATACAAACGATGATAAGACTAATGGCATAACAGTAACAGAGATAACGATCGGTGGCATGAATTTGACCACAAAAGCGAAGACCGATTCGTCTTCGAGTCAAACCTCTGACAGCAATCATAATAAGCGCACAAATACTTCAAACGAGTCGTCTTCGAGTCCAGAAAAGGTGATAATCCGGAAGCCGGCGATGAAAGCGCCCAAAATAGAGCCAATGGTTGTCGTGACACGACTTCCCATTAAGATAAAGGATCCGTACTCTACAGAGACTGAATGCGAAGACATCGACAGCGAGTTTGTCGACGAATCAGATGTGGAAAAGTTTCGCTCATCGATACCATCGACGGTCACAACAATCAAACTCATTGCCAATCATTCAAAGCCATTGCCTGTTATACAAGTGTCGGACAATAAGTCTTCAACCGATAACTCGTCCGAGAGTTCCGATAACAGCGCCAAAAGCCTCGAGAGTGTGATCGGACTGAACGGCCATTGCGTGCAAAAGTCCGCGACTGTGATAGAAGTGAATAAAGACCAGAGGAATGGTTCCATCGATACCACTGATAGCGAAGAGCAAAGTGACAAAAGTGTTAAATCGAGTGATAGTGAGACCAAAGAATCGTCGTTTGTTGGCGAAGACGACAAAAGCACTTTCAAAGACGGATCAGTTCGCGATTCAGGATTCTCTGAATCGTCGACCCGTCCGGACTCGCCCTACGATTGCATTAAATTCATTGACAATTCCTATGGAAACGATTGCAAACACTTAACAGAAAGTGTTGTTTCAAATGAAATACATAGAAAAAAGCCAAATAATGATGACGTGAATGATATCGAGCCCACGATTGAGGACCGATCCGTTCAGACTATGGGCGCCATTGAGTGCAAAGACATACACGCCGTGCCATCGATGGCCGACGAGACCCGAAACGGACTTAATCTCAATCTATTGAGTAGTAAATGTGAAGAAAGTGCCAAAACGCTAGACTCGAGCCCTCCTATCACTGCCAATCACTTCTCACACTTTAATAATTCAATAAATGTTTGTAAATTAATTGATAAAATAGAAGAAGAAGACGATTCTGTGGCCGTCGATGTGTCTGATGTAAAGGTACACAACGGAGAGGCCATGAAATCGACTGTAAATATGTTGTTTCTTTCAATGATTGCTCATATATTCACTCATATATAATAAAAGCTAATTTAGACTACAATTAATGATTTGTGTGACTATTTGTGTTATTTTTGATGGTTTAGGTCGAGGCCTATACCGAAGAAATAGATTCAAGTGCTGTCAGAATACGTGAAAATAAATCACTTTCTGTTCATTTGTCGAAAATAACTGAAGAAATAGAAGAAGACTTCAATCAAACTCCAAATCTAATGAACAGAAAATATGCCAAAAACAAGAAAGTAAGAGAAAATCAATTTTTTAATTTAGCATTAAATCGATCCTATGTTTGGCAAATGCCATGAAATATAAGCTTTTATTTTTGTTACTTAACTCTTCTTCTCAGTTGTGTTTCTCACGTAATAAATCTAATGATGTAATGATGTGTACAAAACAGTCTCTCATAAGACTATACAGTAGTGTAGTGTACAGTATATCAGATGCTATTTTGTTTAGTGTTTGCCCACACTTTGCACTCTCCATTCAAATGTCACATTAATTTCAAATAAATATCAAAAAACTTATTCAAATATCAAATACTTGTTTGAAAAAATGTTTAAATTTATTATTTGAAAATATTTTATCAATCTTATTTTTCTCCATCAATACGTCTTTATTAGCGGCAAATTATGTATACCTCCGGGTGTATACATACAGGTGCGCTCTCTCTCTCTCTCTCTCTCTCTCTCTCAAAACAGTGGCCGTGCTTTCAGTCGCATTGGCCCAGAATAAGGAAGAAACGGTAAATACTATTTTTATTTGCAATATTCATCTCTCTCTCTCTCTCTCTCTCTCTCCACTCTATCCATGCCAATCATATATGTCTTCAAAAAACGAGTCAAATATATCATCTAATTATAAGTGATTTGATTTATTGAACGCTAAATTCATTAATTTATCAGTTTATTCAATATTTCATTCATTTTGTGTTCAATGATACATATTTTTATGGAAAAAATAAAATAAATAAAATAATAAGTAATTTTGAAATGCAAGCCCCGGGCAGTGATCACATCAATGACTACTTCTGAATAATATAAATAATATTTTTTAATTAAAATTTGTCACATATTTTGTATATAAATTCATATAGTTTTTCGTCAAATGTTTTAAATACGATAACAGAGACGACATTTTAAATCACTTAATAAAGTGGACAAATATTATTACAAATAATCAATTTTAGTATTTTGACTATAAATTAAAATTATTTTTGTGGTATTGAAAGATCGTATTAACAGTTAATATATAATTAAATTTGTTTTTATTCAAACATTTTATGAAATTGTTAAACAGATTTCGTATGAATTAATATCACAAAAGACACTTGACTTCTGAACTTAATATTAAATTATTGAATGGTTAATTTATTTGCATATGATTTTCATTTAAAAAAACTTTCATTATTTTCCTAATGGATAACTTACCAGATGTTACTTTACATGTAATGTAGTATTCAAACTAGATTTGCAAGTAAACCAATGTTAACTTCAATTAAGGTAAAACAATTTTGAATATAGCTGTTCATTAGATTTCCACGGGCAAAACATGATCCCATTGACATAGCATTGCCCATTGGATTAGCATTATGCCATTGGATTAGCATTATGCAATGAGAAATTTTATTTATTAACAATTTGTTTAAAGAATAAATACAGTAGTTATGAGTTATGATATTCAGAGCGCAAAATGTCATTCAAAACGATTACATCTAAAAT